CAGAGATAAAAAATTTCACATTACAAGACAGTCCACTTTACAGACATGTCTTCGCTTAGATGGTGAGCCTGGAATGGATCACTGCTTCATATCGGATCTTCGTCCTCAATAATGATGCCCCTCAAGCGCTCTGTAATCTGACTCCGTTAATGCCTCGGTGGTAGTGAGGTCGGTGTGTCGTTCTTTGATAACTAGCGACGAAATGATTGTAGATAAGACTCCACTGCTAGATTACTCCTTGAATCAGTGGATCATCATCTCAGTACCGAATGACGCACGATCTTCGAGCTCACTGCTTCGTCTCGGATCTTTGTACTTGGAACCGATGCCCCTCAATGCTCTGTAAGCTAACTCCATTAATACCTCGGCTATGCTGAAGTTTGTGCTCCACTCCCTGATGGTTAACAATGGAATAATTGTGGATGAGAATCTACTGCTGGATTACTCCTTAGATCAGTGGATTATCATATCAGTCTCGAATGATGCACGATCTTCGAGAAAATCTCATTCTTGTACTCTGGACTTCTTTTTAGCCCTCGATGCATGTCTGTGTATGCGATCACTTAATTGAAAACTTTTATCTCTTCTTGTGAAAATTTTCTCTCGAATATCCCCTTACGGATCAACACTTTTGCATTATGATGATGCAATGCAATGCAATGCAAATGACAAAATGACACAAACAAAAGAGAAGAAATAAGTTAGTATACACAAACAAAAGAGAAAAATAAGTTAGTACATGTAAAATAATTGATACAAATAAAAAATGTAATTTAGAGATGGATATAACACCTACCCTATCATTATATCTACTCGAACATGCTTTCAATAGATAGCAATCCTACCCGGACATACTTTCTACCCACAATGATCTATTTTAAAGAAATTGGTCCTAACCGCATGGTATCTAGTTCGCATGCTTTTATTCAACAGGAAAATTTAAAACAAAATGAAAGGTTCAGAAGCGCTCCTCCTTTGTGTACACCTAATTTGGGTACCTACTGACGGAAAGAGGTTCGGTATATTTATACCTAGGGTGATTGTTCTACGGTTTACTATATGCATGGTTTTGGCTCTAACGGAGCAAAGGGACTCGAATTGTCCTTGATGTCGGTGTCCCCTTGGACTGCCAGACCCTCGATCCTCACCCATTACAGGTTTCAAACGGAACGAGTTCAATTCGAGGGGATTCACTGTCTTATACCCATACGAGGAATAAATCCCTACGAAGGTATAAGGTATGTATCCCATGGGTTATTTGCTAAAACTCATACGAAGAATAAATTCTTACGAGAGTAAAGCATTCACCCCAACTAATTTGGATCGAAGCTCGTGTCTAGAGCTTATGTTATGCCAATGCGAGTGATGTGTGTGAGGAGGAACATACCTACCTTCGACCCAAAAGGAAAACAAAACAAGGAAAAAAGATAAAATCCTGACAAAGCTGAAAACCAAAAATAAAATGTTAGTACGACAAAAAAACGAAGCAATTAAAAATTTCAATAAACGGATCATAAATTAACTAAAAACTAGAAATCATAATTTCCACCAAGATGACAATATGTAAACAACATACAACCTGACTCTCTAAAAAAGTCCCCAGCGGAGTCGCCAAGCTGTCATAACCATTTTTTATAAAACAATTAAATATTATCTTTAAAAACAATTATGACTTTAATTTGGAAAATTTGGTGATTTTGGAATTGATTTGAATAAAATAGAAAAGAGTCGCCATCGACCTTTAGGTTAGGTAGGTCGAATACCTAAAAATATCTTTTAAAAACAATTTTAAGAAAAAAAATCATTTTTTAAGACAAAGATGGTCTGCGTTTACTAAAGATTCAATTTAATGGATTCGGGAGTCGGTTACGTGTGGGGAAGGGTAAACACCCCCACAGTGCCCAAAATTGGTACTGTGTCATTTACGCATTGTCGTAGTGGTGGAAACGATGAATCGAATATAAAATTAAACTATTATCAATTTATTGAGATTTATTTAATTTGCCTCATATTACTGAATGTTATGGAAAATTCTTTAATTCAAAAAGAAACCTCGAAATTAACAATCCTCCATCGAGAAAGTTATTTCGACTATTTCTTATCCATAAAAGAATATTCCCTCATTAACAAAAATACGAATGGAATATAAAAAAAACGATATTTACATACAACAAAATAAATTGATAAAAAAACGAATATACATTGTAGAATAAAGATTGATAATTTGCCTGAAATGATTAATTATCATTTAGAGACATTCATTGCAATGTTCGATTTAAAATGAAATGGATTAGCAAAATAAAATCAAATTAATTTCAAGTTCACATTTGTTCGAATGTCATATCGGATTGTATCACTTCGATCAAGTGATACTTTCCATGCACGTTCTACAAATTTGTGTTCTTGAAAACATTCGAACAATATTTAAATAAAAAATGCAATATAATAACTATAAATAGAAATATGCAAAATACAATATTTACAACAATATAGTCAAATATATTTTTATATATGATACAAATACATAACATAAAAACATGTACATACATAAGAATTAAAATAAAAGAAAATTAATATTACAAACCCAACTATAATGACCAAAAATAAAGTACTTGAAATTTCAAAGACCAAAATAGCAAACACATAAACTCAAAGAACCAAAATAGTACAAACATGAATTTTAAAGGGCTAAAGTCGAAGAAACACAAGTTAAGGACCAAACTGAAATTACACAGAAACATGAAGGATCAAAAATATTTAAACCAAATGCCAAAACAGTGACTAAAATAAAAGATGCACCAATCTGAGGGCCAAATTCGAACATCAACCAAAATCACACAACACATGTAATAAGTGACTAAAATAAAATTATCATAAATATCATAGCCTAAACTAAAACTAATGAAATTGAAATAAATAACCAAATATGGACTGAAATGAAACAAATCTAAACTCTAAGGCGTAAAATCAAATAATTACACAAACCATGCAAATGAGGACTAAAACAATTTCACAGAAATACGGAGGATCAAAAAATAATTAAACAAAATGTCGGACAGTGACCAAAATAGAGCATTTGCAAATATGATGGCTAAATTCAAACACCCACAAAATATCATAACACAAGAAATTAGGACTAAAATGAAACTATTACATACATTGGGACCAAAGTCAAATATCCACAAAATGACATAACATACATTAATAGGACTAAAAAAAATATTTATAATGTGATGGCCAGATTCGAATATCAAAGAACATACATGAAATATTAAATCAGTGGCTAAGATGTAACATTTATAAATATTGAAACCAGAACCAAATATAAACAAAAAATGTTATAATACCTAGGATAGTGACTAAAATGTAAAAGTGAAAAGATAAAGGCTCAAATTGAAATAATGTAAACTTCATTCCATGGCTAAATCGTGCAGTTACAAAGGATCAGGGACCAAAAGCGTGGTTTACCCCTTTTAATATTAGAAACACGGGTAAGATGTTACAAAGATGCGAGGACCAAATAGGCTATTTACCCTTTCATGCTGAAACACGCATACCCTGAACCCCTAAAACAGCGTCGTTTCGGTTTGGAAATATAAGCCCAAAACCGGCTTATTTCCTCCCCCATTTCTCATTTGGTTCCATTTCAGAAAATGGAGAAAGAGAGAGAGTTAAAACTCTCTCAACTTCTCCTGTTGGAGAATGAGAACAACGGCGGAGCCGCGACGGCGCACGGCGGAGCCGCGATGGCCGGAGGTGGCCGGAGAGAGAGAGAAAAAACCAGAAACTTTCCTCTCAACCTCCTCTACCTCGATCCAACCTCCCCATAGCCTAAAACTCAACTTATCCCAATAGATCTATGGATTACCTCTCGGACAACTTGGAAAGCAGTCCTTCGGTGTTCCACGGCTTCGAACAGAGGTAAGGTTTATTTTCTCCCTTTTTTTTTGTTTTGAATCTGTCCTGTCTCCGTTCTCTAAAAAAAATCCCCCCCTCAAATCCCCATTGCCTTCTGTTTTTATCTTTGCATGCGTTTGGGGTCTGATAGATCTAATAGGAAATGATTTCCTAGGCTTCTAGGAGATTTCATTATTTTTCTTGGATTGTCTGACTGAATGATATGATTCTAATCTCTGTTTGATGGGCATCTATCACTGTTCGGTAGGTGGCCGGCGTCAGAGGCTGTCGGGGGTGAGGCTCGGCTGGGAAGTTGAGGAGTCAAGCGGCGGCTGGAGCTGGAAGGCCAAACGGCTGAGCTGATGATATTTTAGGGTTTCAAACCCTAAGCTCTGCGTGATCTGGACCGTTGGATGGGTCCAGATCCAATGGCCAGAAATGAGGCGGCTGGAACATTGAGATGAAACCCTAGCTGGGTTGTCAAGTGGGCCGGTTCGGGTCATCTACTGGGTTGTTGGACCGGGTCTGGGTTTTGATTGTAGTTGGGCTTAAGTGGATGGCCTGCACAAAATGTTGTAATATGTAATTAATAAACATATAATAATAATAATAATAATAATAATAATAATAATAATAATAATAATAATAATAATAATAATAATAATAATAATAATATAAATAATAATAATAATAAATAATAAATATATATAAATAATAATAAAAAATACCCGGACAAAAACGGGTGTCTACACAAATTTTACCGACAGCTGGGGGTGTCAAATTTATTTTTTTAAAAACAAAATTGTAATGCATGTAATCCCAAATTATTTTTTTCTCATGCTGAATTCTATTTTTGTTGGTTTACTAACAAATTTAATGTTATAGATCACTCTCAAATTAGAAATTTCAATTTGATTATAAAAATTCAACAATCTAAACTTAAAATTATTCAGAAGAACAAAGGTTTACTGATGTTATTCAACAATCCTTCCTGCTGCTCTTAGATGGGGCAAATTGTAAATCCTAGTCCAGTCCAGAAGAACAAAGGTTTATTGATATTATTATTATTATTTTGCTTACTAATATTATTATCCAAACATAGAGCAAGAGCGCGAGAGACAAAAGGAAGGAAATGGCTTGTCATCTCCTGCTGACCGACTTCACTCTCCCTCTCAAAAGCCCCAAACTTTCTCACTCGGTTCGATGCTTTTCTTTCCAAAAACCCATTTTTCGTTCATATGAATACATGTTTACACCAAAATGCATGCACGAAAACTTAAAGTTTTGTAGTCAATTTCAATCTCTTGTTATATCTGTATTTTCAGTACTTTCTGGAAGTAAAGTTGTACTCTTTCTTCCTCATGTTTTGTTGATGTATTCAGCGCCAGCAGCGAAAAGGAAGGTCGAATGGGTCGCGAAAAGTTTCTACCACCGTTGCTTACTATGGGCTAAAGACCCCTCCTTATAACCTTGTCCGTGAACCCTTCTTTATTTACTTATTATTCTAGTTGAATCAGAATGAAACTTCTTTGCTGATGCTTTAATGAGTATTTTGCTGCTAATTGTGTATATTGTAAACTACTTATGATGTAGTAATTTGTTTCTCTTGTAATGGCCTCTTCCTAGACTTATCTGCATCCATTACCTTCTTGCAGGATGGTTTAGAACCTTATATGAGTAAGAGGGCATTAGAGGTGCATTGGGGTGTGCGTCATCGTGGCTTTGTGGAAGACCTCAACAGACAGCTTCGGAAAAGTGACATACTGTATGGCTACACTATGGATGAACTTGTCAAAACAACATTCAACAATGGGAACCCTCTACCTGAATTTAACAATGTGGCTGAGGTATAAAATCCGTCAACCGTTTCTTTTAATTGTTTGGTTGTATTTGATGCGTCATTCTCATTTAAATATTATTTTGTTGAAACGAAATATTGGGGCTCTGCATCAACTGATAAACAAGTTTTAGGAACCATTGTCCCCTAGAGTGAGTTTATATCATTTTTCTAACTCATTTGGCACTAACATCCAATGTGTCCCGAATCTTTATCCATTTTTGTTGTATCGAAATTGAAGTAAAACTTTTAATCGTTTAGTGTTAAAGTAGTATTCTCTTGTCCATTGAAGTCGGAAATAGATCTAATGTAGGATCTGCACTTGAGCTTACAATTGCAGGCGTGGAACCATGACTTCTTTTGGGAGTCTATGCAACCTGGAGGTGGGGATATGCCCAAACTTGGTTTACTTGGGCAGATTGAAAAGGACTTTGGGTCTTTCACAAACTTCAGAGAGAAGTTTGTGGAAACGGCTCTTTCTCTATTTGGCTCGGGCTGGGTTTGGCTCGTTTGTAAGTCCTTTCTCGAGTTAATTTCTGTTTGATTATTGATGGACTGTTCCTCTGCCTGGTGCCTAGGTCTCATTATCACAACTTGCATTTTCCCTACATTGGCCCTTGTATATTCTTGTTATTAGGTGGCCAATGTGTCGAGAATCAACATATCACATAATACTCATGCTTTCCCTCGTTATTCTTATATTCTCCATGCTTCTCTTGCATTCTTTTCTTTTCTTTTTTAAAGTAAATATGATCCAACAACAGTTATTGGACCACAACCATATACATGAAAATAGCACATCTTTAGTTTTTGGTGTAAAGTGAGAATTAGTCTGTTGGTCCCAATCGCTTCTACTCGACAAGGATAGCATATAATCGGAACATGATTTGTTTCTCAACAATTTGACTCTGCAAGTAATTTCTTTCATTTGATTGTTTCAGTGAAGAGGCAAGACAAACGGCTTGCGGTGGTGAAAACGTCGAATTCAATCAATCCTATTGTGTGGGAGGGCATTGTATGTCAATGGTCAACCTAGATATTTTTATCTGTACATATTTAAGTCTGTCTTTTATAACTTAAATTTGAACCATCTTCTTTGGTGCAGCCCATCCTCAATTTGGATATGTGGGAGGTAATCTCTTTTGTCTCTCTGTTCTCTAACATTCCCTGCATCCCCCCAACATGCTACTAGGTGCTGACAGTTTGTTCGTTTGTCATTGCAGCATGCTTATTATTTGGATTACAAGGTATGCTACTCGATCTACGACGTCTATTTTAGGTCTGATACGAGAAACACTCCTGAAATTATCATTGTCCTCATCTAAGCAGAACGACAAAGCGAAATACGTGAGCATGTTTATGAACCACCTTGTATCTTGGAATGCAGCAACGGTACGTTTGGCATGTGCGGAGGCGTTCGTGAATTTAGGCGAGCCTAAAATTCTCATTGCTTGAAATGCCGAGTCTTTAACCTCTCTAAGCTCGTGACTAGGATGCAATCAGCAGAAGCCTTTCCACTTTTGATTGCAGGATTTACTCGAAACGTGCAAATTAACCGCAACCCGTATTTGCAGAGCTCCTTACCTAGGGGGTTTCGAACCTGATATCTGCTTCATTGAACGTTACAGATAGCTTTTTCTCATATTTAAGGGTGACAAAGTGAGATCTTTTGATCTCATGGTCTGAGAATTACCTGTAAATATGACATTATCACTTGCCAACTTTTATTGGTGGCATATGTCAGATCATGATCACAGGATACAGCAGATTTCATTTCTTTAAAAAGTGAAAACTCACCAGCATTGATTTTACTATTAAAGGAGAAAAAAATCATTATATTCATGTCAGCTCCATTGATTGTTAAAAAGAGAAGGAAATAATCAAGCCATGTTGATTCTGTTCTTCTGGAGATAGACAGTGTTGGCCTTAAATCCATAATGTGCATCAACCACATTAGAACTCAGCTCAGCCGCCCCATTACTAGCAATTACAACTTTTTTAAAAGGAAGATGGATGGACAATGACCTTTAATTGAACCAACTTTTTTAATGTGGAAGGGGACCCTTCATTTACCCTTTTGCCTTAAGCCCGTGTATGTGTGTGGTTTGAAATTTTGCATGCAAGGCAAATTGACATGTCTCTTTCAAATGAACACTTTAACTAAGCAAATCAAATCAACTTGGGTAATTGACATGCCTTGTCTACTACCCCTCAACTCTCTTTTCCTTTTCCAATGAAAATGACTTGGGATTCTTATCAACTCAAATCATCTAATTTGTTTTTTGATTAGCTTTATTAGATCTAACCCTACGTAAAACATGACACGGAGAATTAAGATTAAATCACATCTTCATACAATTACATTAAAATTTTGAGAAATTCAGTGAGATGGTCGCTTAAACATAGATAAACACAGTTATATATATTGTAACCATTCTCATATCAAATGTATCATGAATATACAATGGATCATGACATAGAAAATAATCACAATGAACATGTATCAAAGTTGCAATTTAAAGTAATTTAGTATAATATAATCCAATTTGGCTCATGGAATTTTGTGTATGTGGGTATACGGATGCCTCATCGTAAATAATCATAATTTGTACATTAGTCTATAAATCTTATGACATGCTAGTTATACTTGATACGAAGCTAAGGTAATCAGAATAACATTAAAAATATAAGTTTTCATACAATTTATCATAACACAATGCATAGCAGGATTCAAAACACATTATAATTCAATTTCATCTTTTTACATTATAATACAGTTTTAGATTTATCGATTATCCATCACCATTCAATTATCATTCCACCGACATGCTCAAAATATTAAAAATATTAATTCAAATCCAAAATCAATGAACATACTTACGACTGATATCAATATACATACCTACAACTAACATGTTCTAAAAATATCAAAACATATCAATTCAAAACCAAAATCAATATATATATATATATATATATCACAATTCAATTATCATTTTACTAATATTTTTTTTGTTAGAAACATCTAATTTTATTAAGAGAGAACAAGTATCCGAAATTAAATAAATGTTTACAACTAAATCTGTAAACTAAACATATAATTAGGATATTTTCTTATAACCATTAATCCAATAAACTAGTCACTTAAAATCATAGAAAGACCATGCAAGGAAAAGGTGAAAAACTCATTCAAAAAAACTCAAACAATAAGTTGATACGAACATATCTGACTATTAAGGTAAATGAATCACAACATGAGATTTAACTATTGAAAGACCACCAATAAACGCAAATCAGAGCCAAGCATCGCGATAAAGCTATCTACGAATACAAAATGCGTATCCAAATCAAATTCGAGGATCCAAAACAGGGAAAATCAATGAAATAACAAATGAGCGTCATCTTGATCAGTCGCAGAGACGTCAAATCCAATATTGAGAAAAATAAACGATAATAACGACCAAACGAACAATTTTTTTTAAAAAAAAACGTGTTAAAAAAAAGAGAGAAACGTGTCATAAAACCAAAGTTATTAAAAACAAATGAAAAATAAGGATGTGTTATAAGAAAAAAAAACAAAGAAATACTGGCAACAACAATCAACACTAAGATCCATGTCATCGCCTACCGACCAAAGAAGTAAAAGAGAGGAAGAAACAATTGTTTAAAAAAATAATCATTTTACTAATGTCTTAATCCCAATTTATATTCGAAAATAGCAATATACAATGACAGACTCAAGGCTAGTCATGTATCTACCTTGAAATCTAAATTTCTTTACGTTCGTTGTTCATTTTATTATGTTTTCCCTAAAATTTAATTTATATCTATCTCAAATGAAAAATTTATATTATTAATATGTGTCCACCCTAAAATAATATTTATAGATTTTACAGTGTCAATTAGTATATTAAAATACGATTCCATATTCAATCATTTATACTATTGATTTTTAAAATTGTATATAAATAACTTATTTATTCAAATAAGTAAATACAATAATTTTGTGATAAAATTACTGACTATCATATAAATAAAATCAATGAGGGATGAGATTATATGTCGATGATGTGATTGGCTCGTGCATCATCTCAAACCGTCCAAATTCAATCCAACGGTTTCAGATGAAACATCGGAAATGCCTTCGATTCCCTTCACGGTTTCTACGCAAAATTTACAAGTTCCAACCGATTTGAGGCTTAAAAATAAGCTTAAAGTACTTAAACTTTGGAAGAATGAATACTATAAGGCTAATTAGTAAGACTCAACACCTTAATTTTTTTTAGAAATAATTAGACTTAGAGCCTAAAGCTTTTAAAATTACTAAAAATACTCTTAATATTTATTCAATTATTTTAGAGTTCCAAAACTAAGAGAAATTATTAAAATACTCTTAATACTTATTAATTTTAACCGATCGATAAGAACTAGTGTGAAGCCTTAAAATTATTGTTAAATAGTTACGTATTACTTAGCTTGCACATTTAAAATTATTTTCAATATACATATTATTATATTTTGTTGTACAAGAATTAAGGTATCGACGTTCGTTGTAGGAATTTCAATAACTTTCTATCTGAGTATGGCCTAATTTTAATTGAGCGTAGGACTCGATGATTTTAACCCATAACCTCATTTATCATATGTTTAGTGTTATCTTTATATTGTTATTTTAAATTATGAAGCTTCACTTTTTAAACCTGATTTAAACTTTGACTATCTATTTATAAATTTGTTTTAATTTTATAATTTTAAATTTCATTTAAAAATTAAAAATTTGTTGAGTCGCTCCAGTGACTCAAAATTAATGCTCTAGGACCTGATGAATATCTCGTATCGGGTTTAGGATATGACATTGTAATTTGATTTTCTTCCAATCCCTTCCATAATGGCGTTCTTTGTAATTTGATTTTTTTCCAACAAGACAATGACACATGTCATCATCTAAATGGAAGAAAAGATAATTAAATTTAATAAATTTAAATCATAAAAATTCTTTAATCAATTGATGTCACATGTCACTATCTGATTAGAGAATTTAATTTATTAAATTAAATTAAAATTAAATCCAAATTAATAAAATGTATAAATATTAATGATCAAATGTATAATTATATAATTTTATTATCTACTATGTCAATACTACCGTTAAATATTAACGACAAATGACTTTATTAACATCATTTATATAATTAATTAGTTTGTTGACAAAATTAAAAAAAATATGATCAAAATGAAAAAAAGAACAATAGTTAAGTGGTCATAAATATAATTTACCATACTAATATATATATATATATATATATATATATATATCATATAGCTTGTAAAAACTCCCGAAGGTTGGGACCATCCTTATTCATTTTACCAAATATTTCTCAAATTAACATAAAGATCAGTGAAAAAAGAAAAAAAAGGAGAAAGAGAAAGAAAAAAGCCCCCGCCGGCAATATTTTGAAGATAAGTGGCAAAATGGTATTTTCAAATGAAATTCGTAAAACGTCAACAATCTTCATTTAAATACGGTCAGTATCCGGTAATTAAAAAACCTCCAAAATTCAAAATTTTGAGGGAAAATTGAATTAAAAATGGAAATTCCACAATCTTTTTAAACAAATAAAAATAAAATAAGGATTTTCCCATTAAGGTGTGAAGTGTGAACTGTGAAGCAGGGAAAAAAAAAAGCAGAGGCGACTGAAAAAGCTGCATCCTTCTTTGCCTTCCAATTTTATTTGTCTTTTTTATTTTCTCTGCATTTTCTCAGAAACCAAACATACGTCTACACTGTCCTTCGACTCTATTGTAAGAGTATAAACACTGAACTTGTTTTTAAGGCTTTAATTTTTCAAAAAAGATGACGCTTTCTGCTTCTTCTTTAGTGATGTTAATTACTTGGAATGTGGAACGTTTTCTAGGGTTTGAGATCGATTGGTGCTTTGAAGTACTCACTTGGATTTGAAGTAAACATTGTCGTTTCTTTTCAGGTAAGTGAAGAAAACTTTGATATTCCTGCTTTTAATTTTTTTCTGCTGTTTATTTTCTATTTTTTTGCTTGCTTGGATCGCGTTAGATTCGGCATGTCGTTTGGTTTTTTAAGGCTTAATGCTTGTCCGTTTTAATACAAAATAGAGAAATGAAGAAATGTTTCTAATTCTGACAATCATTTAATACGGCTTTGAAATGGTCATTAATTATCTATTTCCTTACAATTTATAGTATTTAAATTATTTTTATATTTTTGTGCAACCAAATGATATGAAAAGGAATGTTGAAATTACATGAAATTTGAAGATTTGGTTTAAGATTGGAAGGAATTTTATTTTGATATTAGATAGGATTTATTTTTGCTTAAGGATTTTATGAAGTTGCGATGTTTCCAACTGTTTAATTATAATACATTCCAGCTGTGATACTTGAAGCTATCACCATCTTATAAGCTTCGAGCTTGTTAACGGTGACTGAGGATTGAAGAGCACTAGGGTCTGTATCTTAAACAATGGTCCCCGCCATTTGCATTGCCTGGATTAGTCTTTAAGTGGGGTCTTGTATTAAAGCTAGATAAAACTTTTTCTGAAAACTGAAAAGAAGTTTACCTTTTTAATCTCAAGCCTTTTTATTCCTCTTAAAGCTCATACCTCAGCGTTGTGAACCACTTAGGAGAAGATGTCTCAGAAAACCGGGGTTCCTCCTTCTCACCGGTTTACTGAATCTTTGCCTGTTGATTTTAGGTTCATGGGTTCTCCGACTTCTGATCGTGTTGGATATGCTGATATAAATTTGGGAATCAATGGTGTAACCAACTTGAGTTCCCCTGAAGAAAATGGTGATTCAGGGGTCAAGGCTGTTGAAAGAGTTGAAAATTTTGTTGCTGATACTGAACAGGGAAATGAAGATTCACCATACAATGGGAATGTTAAGCTTGTTGAAAACAGTCCTTCTGTGGCCGAAGAGGACTTGGACTCCACAATTGCACCATTGCCTTCAGTATCAAAATCTAACAATGGACAGAGGTGCAGTGTCATAACTTCCTATGCTACAAAAAAGGTAACTTATGGCTATTGGTTTTATAATAGGTTAGCCCTTTTGGCTTTGACATGATCTACTCTTTGCTATGTTTATGTTAAATCTCATGCTGAACTGTTGAATTACTTAATCTTGCTGTTTCAGAAGGTTCAGTCTTGGTTTCATCTTCCTAATGGGAATTGGGAGCTGGGGAGAATAATGTCAACTTCAGGAACGGAGTCTGTTATTTCACTTCCTGCTGGGAAAGTAAGCTTATATTAAGAAAGCATGGAGTATGAGTTCCTAAATTAAGTAGATATGCATTTACTTGTATTCCATTTGTAGGTTTTAAAGGTGAACTCTGATAGTTTGATACCTGCAAATCCTGATATCCTTGATGGTGTGGATGACCTCATGCAACTTAGTTACTTAAATGAGCCATCAGTGTTGTTCAATCTCCAATATAGATACAATCAAGATATGATATATGTAAGAGCTCAAACTTTTTTTATATCAATTTTTAACCTGCACCTAAAGGTAATTGTTCCTCTAACACTGTTATAATCTACTCAATCTAGACAAAAGCAGGACCAGTTTTGGTTGCCATAAATCCTTTTAAGAAAGTTCCGTTATATGGCAATGATTACATTGAAGCATACAAGAATAAATCCATTGAGAGTCCGCATGTCTATGCAATTGCAGACACATCCATCGGGGAAATGACACGAGGTACTTTCAGTTTCTTATTGTTGTCATATTTGATTTTTATTTTTATCAACTTTGTTATTATCATGAGCTTATGGTTTTAATATGGTTCTTTGTTTTTTGGCAGATGATGTAAATCAATCTATCATCATAAGGTTGGTATTCTTTCTCCTTTTTCCCCTTCTCTGTTAATATATTTCACGTGAATTCCACTAGTTTTATTTTATGCGCATCCTATACAGATGCCTTATTTGTTATTTTGTTTTTTTTGATAGGAATGAAAGGCCTCGTTAAAAACCCCCTTCTTGATTAAGGAGCTTGATAATAAGCTCCTTAATCAGCGGAAGGAGGAAAAGAGTGCCTTTAATTTTATTACTAATGGAAAAATTACATAAGATACAACCATTACACCAATAACAGTACATAAAACTTAAAAACATCCCCTGGCATAAAAGCCTTTACAGTACATAAAACTTAAAAACACCCCCTGCCATAAAAACCTTCACAGTAGAATAGAAAACCATAGTTGACTCCTAACAATCAACCTATCCCACTCTTAGCTAGATTGTCTGCCTCCCCATTGCACGCTCTTGGAATTCACCTCACTGAATGTACCTTACTAGTGATGAATGTACCTCACGACAGCCATTGAAAGGAGAAGAGTACATTTTTTTGATAGGAATAACAGGCCTCATCACAAACCTCCTCCTTGATAAACGGAGTCTGATAATCAGCTCCTTAATTTAACCACTCAAGTAGAAACCAAAAACCTAAAACTCAAACAATAAAACCCACTGATAATGCCTAACAATCAACCAATTCCCATCTTTGCTAAACTATCAACCTCCCCATTACACGCCCTTGGAATCCATCTAACTGAGTGCACCCTATCCGAGAAGAGTGATGAAATCTCCTTAACTAAAGGTAAGATAAAAACAGGGGCCAAAGTTGGGGTCAATATCCATTCCACAGCCGACTTGCAGTCACTTTCCACAATCAACCTTCCAACAGTAACCCAACAAGAAGACAAATAGATTTCAATTCCTCTCTTAATAGCCTTTAACTCCGCAACCTGGGGGGGACCTTGACCTATATTTTCTGAAAAAGTCAGAAGAAAGTTGCTGTTCCAGTCTCTCAAAATACCTCCTATACCTCCATTTGTGCCATCAAGTCTAACAGCTCCATCAACATTCATCTTCAAAAAATCAACAAGGGGTGGGAACCAGCGAATCACCTGAACATTCTTAGGATTAAGAGCCTTAATACCATCTGCAAGAGATGAATCACCAATCAGCACATCCTCCTGAATAGGAAACTTAGGGTAATTGGCTAGAAACCATTTAGATAACCTGAATCTAGCAATAAAAAACAGAGACATCCTATCAAGGGGAGCACCTTCGAACACCATTGCGTTCCTAGCTTTCCAAATCGACCAAAATACTACTCCCGGAATAAATTTCCAAATCAACGATTTCCCCCTCAGTTCACCCCAAGAGCTGATCAAAGAAGGTGGGTCCTTTGGAAGTACCAAAGCTATATCCCAAAAGCTTACTATCTTATACCATAGTTCCCAAACTACAACACACGAAATAAATAAATGTTGCACTGATTCCACTTGTTCTTTACAAAAAGGACACAAAATTTTATCCCCTAGCTGCATTCCTCTCTTCACCAATTCTTCTCTCACTGCCACTTTCTGATGAGCTAGCTGCCACAGGAAAGCTTCAACACGAGGAGGAGATAATCCATGCCACACCCCTTTAAACCACATATCAGAACCCCCCGACACCTTCCCGAGTACATTTCTACAAGATTTTACTGAAAACATTCCATCCCCACTTGCAGACCAAGAAAGAAAGTCTTCTACTGATTCTGTCAGTTTAAAGTCATTCAGTTTTGTCATCAATTCCAGCCATTGCTCCAATTCCCAGTCACACAAATTCCTTCTGGTTTCGACGTTCCACACCCAACCATTCGAATCAAAACAACCAAACTCAGTAACCTTACCCTATCTGTTTGTAGACAACACATACATTCTAGGGAAAAGATTTTTTAAAGGAAACTCATCAGCCCATGTATCTGTCCAAAATGAAATAGACTTTCCATTCCCCACTTTCAACTTAGAGTGTGATCTGATACATTCACCCTCCGAGTCATTCTTTAAGAAATTGTTAGCAATACCTCTCACAATCCAAGAAGATTTGGACGTAAACACCTTGCTAATAGACATGGAATTACAACTAGCCTTGTGTCTGCAACATAACACACTTTTCCACAAAGTATTCTTTTCATTGGCAAACTTCCACACCCGTTTTCCCAAAAGAGCCCGATTAGAAAGATTCACATCAAAAACACCAAGACCACCAGAATTCAGAGGCTTGCAAACTGATTTCCAATTAACCCAGTGTATCCTCCTTTTTTCCTCATTACCCCCATAGAAATCTGGCCATTAATGAATTGAGCTTCGTAACAATAGTGCAAGGTATTCTAAAAAGTGATAAGAAAAATATTGGTAAGGAAGTAAGCACCGACTTCAATAAAACTGTCCTGCCAGCCAAAGAGAGACAAGAAGCTTTCCAGTCGGCAAGTTTGGAGCTAAAATTCTTGAAAACTGGATCCCATAGAGCTTCTGAGTTTTTCTTAGCACCGAGAGGAAGTCCCAAGTAATCTGTTGGAAAGGAACCCACTGAACAACCCACTGCTAATGCCCACTCTGTTAAAACTTCCTCTTCCACATTAATACCAAACAACTTGCTCTTAGCTAGATTTAGATGCAACCCTGTCATAATACTAAAAATCCTCAACACTCTCTTAACATTTTTAATCTGGGAGAGAGAAGCTTGACAGAAAATGACAAAGTCATCTGCAAATTGGAGATGTGACAACCGAACAGAGTTTTAAGATTTCCTAATAACAAAGCCTTGAAACAGACCCCTGTCTACTGCTTTAGTTATCATCAAATGAAGCAGCTCACCTACAATGTTAAACAGTAACGGAGATAAACTGCACCCTTGCCTAAGTCCTTTGGCCATAGGAAACTCTTCCGAAGGGGACCCATTTACAAGAACCGAGATTGAAGTTGTTGATATACACTGAGATATCCACGACAACCATCTCTTGCCAAAACCCATCTCTGACATTACTCTGATTAAAATTGGCCATTCCACAGAATCATAAGCTCTACGAAAATCTACCTTGAAGACAACCCCTTGTAACCCTTGTTTTCTCCAGTAATCAATCCCTTCATTTGCTATAAAAGCACAATCCAACAGCTGTCTCCCCGGTATAAAAGCAAACTGAGATTGACTAATAATATCACCAACAATACAACTCAGTCTCTTCGATAAACCTTTGGAAATGATTTTGTATAAACTGCCTACGAGGCTGATTGGTCTAAACTCCTCTACACTGTCCGGATTTAGCTTCTTCGTAATAAGTGTGATAAAAGCATGATTAACACCATGCTCCCATTTCCTTCCAAAAAAGAAATCTTCAAAAAATTTCAACACGCGTTCCTTTAAAATTGGCCAGCATTTTTTAAAGAAACCCATTGTGAAACCATCCGGTCCTGGAGCTTTAGAGCTGTCTGATGAAGCTATAGCCTGCCAAATTTCTTGTTCTAATAATTGCTCTTCAAGTTTATTAGACTGTTCCCCTGACAGCTTAGCAAATTCCAGAACTAAGTCCTCCACTTCCATTGTTGAATTGGAGTTGTAGGCTGCCTTAAAAAATTCTGAAATATGTAACTTTAACTGTTGAGGGTCTGAAACCGCATTCCCATTTATCTTCAAGCTTAAAATTTCATTTCTTTTGCTTCTGTTCAGTGCAGACAGATGGAAAAACCTTGTGTTTCTATCCCCGTCTTTAATCCATCTAGTCCTTGACTTCTGAAACCAAATGCTTTCTTCGATTCTATACAGCCTCCAGAGATTAGTTCTACACTGCCTTAACTGATCCCACTCCTGCTTCGAGAGAATTCCACCTTGAGCTTTACAATCCAGTTCATTAATACACCTTTCTAAATCAGAAATCGACTCAGAAATCCCAAAAAATTTACTGCTAGACCATTTTCTGATTGATGTTTTTGTTCCTTGCAAGATGTTGAAGATTCCCCTTCTGTTATTTCTCCCCCTCATAACAACCATGGAAGATTTAACCAATTCCTCAAATCCTTCCTCTAATAGATAATTAAAAAATCTGAATGGTTTAGGACCCCAATTAACGGCTTTATCCTCTAGTGAAACTGGATTATGGTCAGATAAGGATCTAGGCAAAAGTCTTTGCATTACATTCGGAAACGAAGTCAGAAACCTCCCAGAAATTAAGAACCTGTCGAGTCTTTCCCACGTAGAGTATTCTCTATTATTACACCAAGTATACCTTCCTCCCACCATAGGGAGATCAATTAAGTTTGATTGCTGTAAGAAGTTTCTAAATAAATCAATAGAATGCCAGTTCTGGGACTTGCCCAACTTCTCATCCGGATTGAGATACACATTAAAATCTCCCCTATACAAACTAACAAATTTTGAGCAGACACAAACTCCAACAGTTCCCTGAAAAAATCTTCCTTTTCTGCTTCAATTGATGGATCATAAACATTTATAATCACACAATCTTCACTTGAATTTCTGAACTTCTCAAAGACTGCTATGAATCTGCCATTTAAGATGCTGTTCGAGACTACAAAATCATTTTCATTCCACATAATCATTAATCCTCCTGCAGATCCCACTGCTGGAACCACAATACCTCCTTTAAGAAAACTCCCCCCTATCCTTCTTCTTAAAGCCAAAGAAACACTTTCTAGTTTTGTTTCTTGAATTAGAAGAAAGTTCGGCTTATTCCTCTTCACCAAATTAGCTACAACTCTTGATTTTTCTTTTTTTCCAAAACCCCTTACATTCCATGAAATTATGTTGACATTTATCATAACGAAAAATTCAACACCAAAACCTTTAAGCTAGTCAACAGAAGAATGCTAATCTCCTGAATTCCCCCATTCCTTACTCTCGGCCAATCCCTCCTCAAGATTTATAATTTTGTCTAGAAAAGCCTTCTTCCCCTCTTTAAAAGATATCCCCAGTATTTTGTTAACTTCCCATGTAGCCAATGCCTCCTCCAAGAAAACCGAGAATGTTGAAGAATAAACAGTAGGGAAACTTATCACATCCAAAGCTTCTCTGATCAAAGCCTTCTCCTACTTCTACTCGCTCTCCCTGGCATAGAACCAGGTATAACTCCAGTAGAGACCTCTTCTACAGACCCTGAATGTTGAGCAATACCCACTTCTGAAGTCTGAGGAACACCAAATTCCTCATTAGTGGAATTGGCCCCTTCCACTAAAGAATTTAGATATGATTGTATGCTCAAACTAGGGATTAGAATTTTCCTATTTTGAACAACCAACTCCCTTATTTTAAGTCCCTCATCTTTTCTGCTCGGATTATGCCACACCTTTCTTACCCTAGATCTTCTATATACTCTAGATACATATCCTCTTTTCCACCTTCCTACTGGGACGTTCCTACCACATAAACTTCCAGACAAGAGGTTCAGAAGACTCCAACTCCTTAAACCATTTGTGACATACTCCTGATTGGCTCCCAACACCTGAATTCCAACCTTTTGGACTGGTACAAGTTCCCTTTCCACCTCTGTTTCCTCTATACTGCTAACTTCTTTGTCCAGTTCAACATCTTCCTCTAACCCTTCAGAATTATTATTTATAGAAAGCCCTCTACAATGTGACTGAATTTTGACATTTGACTCTCCAGAATTCCTTTTTAAAATGGAGTCAAGCTTGGAAGGAACCAAAATCTGCAAGTTTGATTTCTCCACATCAGTCTGCTGAAGATCACTTGGAATGTCCACCCGATGGTCTATCTGATTACCATAGCCCAATTCTATTAAGTTCACAGCTGGCCCAGTTGGAGAGAGTCTTGTATAAATTGGGGTGGGCTCACTACAGTCTTCTGATTGTGCTTTTTCACTACTATAACAAATATTATTTCTCAACCCGAGGCCCATATATTCCCCTCTTAAATTCAAATTTTCCTCTTGTAGTTCTGACACCCTTTTTCCACTGGGTTGACCTTCATCTACCTGCCCCATTAAATGCTGATCCTCACAACCACCAGTCGCAACCTTACATACATCCCCTTCCAACCACGTGTCGACTCTACCTCTAGTATCCTCAGCTAATAAGTCTGGCCTACCAACCCCTCCTGAGTACCGATCATCTTCCTCCTCTGATGCTGCAACTTCCCTGTACGCTCCACCGCCGTCCACCGCTGAATTCACTGCTGAAAAACCATTCTGCTTCTCAAAAACTGAGCCCACATTAATTTTAACCAAATAAGATCTCCCATACAATCCAAGTGTAACTGTTTCCGGTATATCAAAAGGACTGGCCACCCTCAACAATGCTCTTGCAACCGCCATATCCTCTCTTCTAGCCGTTGAATCTTGAATACAAATCAGCTTCCCCCACCTTGAAACAAGTTTTTCCAGAAACAAGACATTCCAACATAATAACGGAACTCCAACTAATTCAACCAAGCAAAATGACATCGGTAAGCCTTCCTCATTCAGAAGCATATCAAGCCATTCAAACCAAAATGATAATATCTCCAATCTACTCGACCACGCCTCCTTTAATTCCTCCACTGAAGCAAAAGTTAAAATGCAAGAGTTTCTTGCGTAACCCCATTTGACTAACTTGACTTTGATCCCATCACTCGCCAGACCCTTCATCACTAGCTCCAAATCAAAGTGTGTTTTAATGATCCCTGTCAATGATCTTTTCACCCAATCCGATTCATCCGAGGGAATGTGCATCTCCCACAAGTTCCTCAGCCCCGATTTCTTCCTAGGAATCCCCATCCTATTTTCTTTGCTCACCTGATCTTCCCTCAGCCCAACATTTGAGACTAACGCATCCTTATATGATCTATCATCTCTCAATCGATTAAAGGACTCATTATCAACTTTTCTTCTCCAATATCCTCCCTTATACACCGTACCTTCTTCCCGTATGAAATTTCTGTTATCCACTTGGTGAGGTCTCTGCTTCTTATACTTTGCTACCCCAACATATATTTTCTTTCCATCAATCCAAATACCATTGACATTTTCCACCGCCTTCTTCAATCCTTCCTCCTTTGCAAACTGAACGAAAGCAAACGTATGATTACTATAGTTTGGTTTGCTAGAACTACTCGGGATGAAAACTCTCAGTACACGACCCTGTTGTTGAAAAATTTCCTTCACTGTTTTCCAAGAGACTCTTTTGCTCAGATTATCCACAAACACCGTCCAATCCTCGCCGGAGGACTGAAAACCTAAGGAACTCTCTCTCTCTCCAGTTTTCTCTCTGACACTCTCTCTCATGGTCCGGTCCCTTATTTGTTATTTTTGATAATGGAAAACTTGTAACACATTCTGTAGACAATTGTTGAATTAAAAATACAATAGTGACCTATAGAAGTAATCAGTTTCTCCTTTGGCTATAAATATACTTTGTCATTTATCTCTGCTTTCTTTGGTTACAAGGATCAAATACTTTAAAAGTTCCTTGCTTCTCAGATGCTGGGACTTCAGGACCTGTTGAAACATGCATGCAACTCTTTCTGTAACAAATACTTCTATTGAGTTGGGATACAATTAAGATGAAAAATGGAGCAGTTATTGAAGAATTATCTCTATCTTTGTCTCCTATTAAAGTTTGCTTTCTTAGTTTTGACCCTTTCTATGTTTAGCATATCTAAGTTTGTGCGTGAATTTGTAGAGTATCTTCTGTACAGTTGCATTTAACCATGCTAGGTAAATTTTGGATCTTTCCTCTTTCTCCCTTTTGCATGTTTCAAGGAGATTCTCTTTATTTTCCTACTTTAGATTATTTCAACTTATTTTCCTCTTCTATGTTTAGCATATCTAAGTTTGTGCGTGAATTTGTAGAGTATCTTCTGTACAGTTGCATTTAACCATGCTAGGTAAATTTTGGATCTTTCCTCTTTCTCCCTTTTGCATGTTTCAAGGAGATTCTCTTTATTTTCCTACTTTAGATTATTTCAACTTATCTCTGTATACAGTTTTTTTTGTCTGTGCATGTGAAATATTTTGGTCTTTGATTCGGATCCCTTTTTGGCAAATATGTTGCGTGGACTGTAAATTATAAAGCCTTAAATTTCATAAGAGTAAATTCCATTTTTAATAATTTGTATTAAGAAATATCTTATATCACAGAGCACATTTTAGGGATTTATTATATCTTTTGTTTGTTTTTTTAGCACATGTGTACATGCATGTAATGGTTGTGTTGCTATTTACTTGTAGTGGTGAGAGTGGAGCAGGTAAAACTGAGACAGCAAAGATAGCAATGCAATATTTGGCAGTCCTTGGCGGTGGAAATGGAATAGAGTACGAAATATTGAAGACCAATCCTATACTAGAAGCATTTGGGAATGCAAAAACATTAAGAAATGACAACTCAAGCCGCTTTGTAAGTTCCATTTTCTTTCATGGCTATCGAAGTTTAACTTGGTTTACCAATTTGCATAGTATTCGAATTTACTGAAATTTGATTAGATTTCAGATACTAATAATTTTGGTTAATATTTGTCAGGGAAAGTTGATTGAAATCCATTTTAGTGAAACTGGAAAAATATCTGGAGCCAAGATTCAAACCTGTAAGTGCACTACTATATCCTGAAATGATATTCATTTGATTAAGCATATTTATTTTTCCTTCCTGAAATGAGGGGCTAACATCAAGTTTGAATTTGTTTTTCACATGGCAGTTCTACTAGAGAAGGTAATTTTACAACACCTTGTTCCTATGTGCCATTGGATCTATTATTTTTCTGAAGTATGTGTTGCTGATTCGGTCTATTATATGAACAGTCTAGAGTGGTCCAATGTGCAGAGGGAGAAAGGTCTTACCATATATTTTATCAGCTTTGTGCTGGTGCTCCTCGTGCTCTTCGAGGCAAGTTTGTTGCTATCTTTATCTTTCTTTAGTCTAATATGCTTCCTCCTGGAAACAACTAGAGACTCAAGTTTATAGCTCGGTTGCTTATGGTTATATTCATTTTTGAGCTTGTCTTAGGGTGTGCCGTTTTATTCAGTAGCAAATTAGAGGTTACCACTATGAAAGCCTGAAAATGTATATGTTAACTCTCCTAAATGTGGTATTTGAAAAGTATCCATGAGATAAAATAGTTTAATTGTTGCATCCCTTTTTATGCCGTTAGTTTTTTGGAATAATTTTATATTTGAAGAATCATGTTCCATCTTCTTGTTAAGTTATGTTCTTTGCCTCTGTTCGTTCAATTTTGGTCTACAGAGAAACTAAATTTAAAGGATGTGGATGAATATAAATATTTGAAGCAGAGTAATTGCTATTCTATTACCGGGGTTGATGATGCTGAACAATTTCGCATAGTTAAGGTACTTGCTTATTTACCATGAATATTATATCTTTGATCCATTTATGTTTGTCATGATTAATGCTTTAAAATTGAGAAAGTAATTGGCATTTTCGGTTTTGTGTATTATTCTAGGAAGCTTTGGATGTTGTCCATGTTAGCAAAGAAGACCAAGAGAGTGTATTCTCAATGCTTGCTGCAGTACTGTGGCTGGGAAATGTGTCTTTCACAATGATTGATAATGAAAACCATGTTGAAGCAGTGGAAGATGAAAGTAAGAAATTTCTGTAGACCACTGTGAAACGACTCTTACTGCCCTAATTGGTTTCATGTTTTTAAATACTATTTTTTATTATACCTCACGACCCTTCATAGATTTTTGAAAATTCAACCATATAGCCTTTACCTTAACCACCTCCCTCAATCTCCTCTTCTTTCTGAAAATTGACTTGGAGAGGGAAAAATGAATAGAGGCACAGGAGAAATCCAAACTAAAGTTTAGCCTTTGCTTTGGCCTTATTTTTAAGTTTTTATTGCTAATTAGTTTTTGGTTGGATGCTTGAACAATAGTTTGAGTCCAATTTGTTTATTAAACCTACGGGTGTAATTGAGCAAAGCCAAGCTCAATCTATAAGATGCTTGAGCTTGAGTGTCTCAAAGAAATTTGAGACTCAACTTGAGTGCAATCATGTTTAATTCAGTGTAATATTGAAAGCCTGATACATCCCTGACTTCAATCTTGATTATTTATGTTTGACCTCAAGTTCGAGTTTGAATTTAGATTTCTCAATACTAATAAATATGAGAAAGCACAGTTAGGCTCGTCTGCTACTCAAGTCAAGCATTAAGATATTCCAATTTGGTTTGTTTAATATTTCTAGCCGCTTGACCTCAAGCTTGACTCTTCAATGACGGAGTCGATTTTAATTTTTTTTTTCCGAGCTGAACCAAGTACCTTGCAAAGATAGATGGCTTGTTTACACCCAAGTTGCATTTTTTGTTGTTGTTGTTTTAGTGGTTTTAGATCTTTCATTTTTATGGCAGTAATTTGTGCCAGGGTCAAGGTGTAATGTCCTGTATACTAGATTTTCTCTTTTTTATTTGTTTCTATTTGTATTAGGCAGTTGTGTTTGCCCTCATCTCTTTCCATTTTAATGCTGCTGACAGACCTTCTTTCATTTCCTATGTATTTTATCACTTGTTTTTGCTTATAAATCTTAATTATTTTATTCATATTGCTTTTGATTGGACTTCATCTAATATCTGAATATACGATTGCTTTTCAGGTTTAATCAATGTTGCCAAGTTGATTGGATGTGACATTGCAGATCTTAGTCTGGCTTTATCAACTCGGAAAATGCGAGTTGGTAATGATAATATCGTCCAAAAGCTAACACTATCACAGGTAATAAACTGAGATTCCTTTTCTATACAAATACTATGCTATAATTTGTCTAATAGGTCATAAAAAGTGTAAGCATTCTGTTTCAGTTTGCTTAGAGCGTGTGAGAGACAATTTCTTCAGATCTAGAATTTCTCCATGTTTAAATTTCCAGTAACATTTCTGTGACATCCTTTTCTCTCCATCATGGCTGGAAGAAGGTTTGAATTGCTTTGGTCTCAAGTATTGGCTTCATTCTATTCTACCTTATATCCACATCTCTCTTCATTTGGAAATCAATATGGATATGACTTCTCTGCCATGCTTTGAAGAATCAAAATAGAGAACGAAATATGGCTGAACTTGAATGTATGACATCTTTGGGTTTGCTGCAGTACTCTATACATTTTACCTAAATTAGCATGACATCAATAATTTCAGGATTTTACTCTTTAATTCTCTTGTTATTTTGTTTAGCTTTGTGCTTCATGCATGACACTGTAGCTTCACAAAGTTTCTAAACTGCTTGCTTCTATTTCTTAATTAGGTATCAAAAGTTATTATGTCTACCATTGTTAATGGACCTCTCTGACTGATGATTGTCCTAGAATCTAACCTTTTACAGTTGAAGTGATTTAATTTATATTCTCATATTAACATGTTGAGATTCATAATAAAATTATTCTTTCATTTTCAGGCGATTGAGACAAGAGATGCCTTGGCTAAATCAATTTATGCTTGTTTGTTTGAGTGGCTGGTAGATCAAATTAACAAATCACTTGCTGTTGGCAAGAGGCTAACAGGCAGATCTATCAGCATTCTTGATATTTATGGCTTTGAATCATTTGATGTATGTTTTAATAATGCTTTTATTCACTATCTGTGTCTATATGGCTCCTTGTACATCCAAATTGAGAATTTCTTTTGTTATCCAATCAATATTTTTTTTCTTCTCTACAGAGGAATAGTTTTGAGCAGTTCTGCATCAATTATGCAAATGAGAGATTGCAGCAGCATTTTAATCGCCATTTATTCAAGTTGGAGCAGGAGGTAGCTTCTGATTTATGTTTCATATGACTAGATTATGATTTTAGTTGATTGATCTGAGTTGTTATGGCATTTAGAACCTGACTGAATCTTAATAGATTTCTTCAACTTTTTCAGTTCAGTATGTTTTGTACTGGCTAATAATGTGGAACAGCGGCTAGAAAGGATAATGAATTAGTACGAAGTAATATTAAATATTATAGTTTTCTTTTGCACATTCATTGGCACGGTTGAAACTACTTTTTTGCATAATTAATGACAGTATGCAGTCAATGTGAGGGCATGCATAAACTTACTCCACCATGAACAAATGTAGAGAAGAATGCTTAAAGATCTTCTTGCTGTAGAAACACTCTTGAATTAAATCTTTTTACAAAAGATGATAACACATTGCTTTGCTTTTGCACTGGTTAGTTAGTTTTATTAGGGTATTAATGTGATTTAATCCATACTGGACCTGTTAATTTCACAATTACTGTTCCCTTTTCCCTTTCAGGAGTATATTCAAGATGGAATTGATTGGACAAAAGTTGATTTTGATGATAACCAAGATTGTCTTCATCTTTTTGAAAAGGCAAGGGGTTCATTTTAGTGCTTCAACTTCATGATATGCTTTTCTTGTATGGGTATGGCTTAGAAAATAATGAAGTACTTTTGTACAAATGTCTAACCTTAAGGTCTTATGGAGGTTGTTCTGCTTTAGTGCTAGTCTGATCTTGTTGTTCATCATCATGTCTGAAATATTGACGCTTGCTTCTAGTACTGATATCATTTATTCTTTGCAGCATCAATTTATAAAACGCGTTTCTTCCAATCTTATGTTTTAAATTTGATGCAGAAACCTTTGGGATTATTGTCTTTGTTAAATGAGGAGTCCACTTTTCCTAATGGCACAGACTATACCTTTGCCAACAAGCTCAAGCAGCATCTGAATTCGAATCCTTGTTTTAGGGGAGAGCGAGAAAAAGCTTTCACAGTCTCTCATTTTGCCGGAGAGGTATTATTTTTGCTGGTTGTCAATTTCATCATTCCTCTTTTGTGTTTCGAAGGTACTTGCCTATGTCTCCTACTAGTTATTCATTGTTCAACATATTGGTGGTGGAAGAAAGACATGCACTTTTAGTTTTTACTAGATTTTCCTCCACGTGAGTGATTATCATAATTATGATAACTAATATGATAAAGTTGGCCTAATTTGTCAATTCATCTTGGTCCCAATGCAGGTTACATATGACACAACTGGATTTTTAGAGAAGAACAGAGACTTACTGCACCTGGATTCAATTCAACTACTGGCTTCAAGTTCATGCCAGCTTCCTCAAGCATTTGCATCAAATATGCTTAACCAATCTGAAAAGCCTGTAGTTGGTCCTTTACATAAAGCTGGAGGTGCAGATTCTCAAAAGTTGAGTGTTGCAACTAAATTTAAGGTGAAGTTCTTTCCAAATTTCAAGTGTTCACTTCTTTCAGTATGATCAATCTTCATGATGTAATAAGCATGAATATGTGAAAGAAGCATCTATTGAATTAGACGCACAAGTATATATGTGCCAATGATTTGTATTTTTTGTTTTTCATTTTTTCTATGTAATGCACGGAAGATAGTTTTGATCTCCTTATCCTTGTGTATACCAATCCAATACACATTTTATGACAGTTCGTTGCTTTTGCGAAAGTTGTTGCTTCTTGCTATAGGGTTCATGCACATCTTAAGTCAAAATTGGCAGTTGTTTATCTTATCTTGAGTTTCTTTTGTCCTCTTTTTTTTCTTGTCTGAACTTTCTAGGCTGCATGAAATGAAATCTTGATCAATTTGGGATGGGCTGTCCATTGTCTCAAATGTGATTCTTGCATCTGTTTTGTTGGTCTATATTTAAATCTCAAGATCCACCTTTTATTGTGTTTCAACTAAAACCTTTTTCAATTAACACATGAATCTCTTAAATCTCATTTTTCTCAGTCATAGAAAGACTAATTTCATTGCTTATTGGCACATGCACTTTTCTTTTGCCTATGTCTTGCATCCATGGACATGAGGCATGAATCCTAGTGATTAGGGAGGTTTTAAGATTAATGATTGTGTAGGTTGCCATCCTTTCTCATATTACCGTTTCTGTATTATTTTATGGTGAACTTACTATATTGCCAGATGAAATATTGATTTAGAATTCTTACATGTTTGGCATATAAAAGAATTCCATCCCTTTGTGAATGTAAAATGTTGTTCTGTGTGAAAGAAGCTAGATATCCATCCTTAAAAGAATTTCGTAGTGTATATGGTATGTAAAGTATTGCTGTTTGAATATTGCAGTTAATGGTTAATTTATCCTCTATTCCTCTCCTTATGTTACTTTCCACAATACAGGGTCAACTCTTCCAACTAATGCAACGTCTAGAGAGCACCACTCCACACTTCATACGTTGTATAAAGCCCAACAACTTTCAGTCTCCTGGATCATATGAACAAGGACTTGTTTTGCAGCAATTGAGATGTTGTGGAGTCCTAGAGGTTGTTCGTATATCACGGTCTGGCTTTCCTACCAGAATGTCCCACCAGAAGTTTGCCAGAAGGTGTAGAAGAGGAAATCATTTTCTTTTTGTCGAAGGCAGAACCATTTACATTTTTTTTTGTTTCAGTATTTTAGTCAGGTTTGAGAGTTTATACATGATTGTTAAGCATCTGATTCTTTTCCATATTTTTCTTTTGGATTTCGGCTGTTTTTGATTGGTGGTGCTGGTTTGTTTTGCACCTTTCCTCAGGTATGATTTTCTACTAGTGGAAAATGCTTCCGCGCAAGATCCACTTAGTGTTTCAGTCGCAATTCTTCATCAATTTAAAATTTTGCCTGAGATGTATCAAGTTGGCTACACAAAATTGTTTTTCCGTACTGGGCAGGTACAATAAATTTTTTTTGCCTGGAAACATTGCCATCAATGCTTGTTGGTGTATCTCTTTGATAGTAAAGCATTAAAAAAATTGTAAAATTTATCTTCTTATCTTGATGAATTGAAATAAGATTATTTATGCAGATTGGGGTTCTTGAGGATACAAGAAATAATACTCTTCATGGCATTTTACGCGTTCAAAGCTGCTTTAGAGGGTACCGAGCTCGCTGCCACTTTAAGGAGCTTCGAAGAGGAATTACCACCCTACAGTCATGTATTCCCATTTTCTGTTTTTGTTGGTATAAATTCTATTTATGCAAAATAAGAAATTGCCAAACTTGATGTTCTTATATCTCTTATTACAGTTGTCAGAGGAGAGAAAACCAGGAAAGAATATGATGTTTTACTGCAGAGACATAAAGCTGCTGTTATTATACAAAAGCAGATAAAAGGCAGAAATGCTAAAAGAACATTCAATAACATTCGTGGTGCATCGATTGTGATACAATCAGGTATGGATTTGGGTTTTGTTCATTGTTCATGTTAAGTAAATCCTTATACATCAAAGTGCCTTTCTCTAATTCAAGAGAAGGTTAAAAAGGGATTGACGGAAAACGTTTAACATTGTATGAAATCGAATGCAGACCATAAGTGAATTTGATAAATTTGGTTTTGGCTGTGAAAACTAGAAAGATATTGGAGTAATATACAAAGTAGGTTTAGGTTATGCATTTTCTTCTGTACAGTCGGTGTTTAATAATCATGCCACCGAAATTGCATGTATAATTTAACAATTATACGTGCCCTATGCTGCAGCTATTCGTGGCTGCTTGGTCAGAAGATGCTCTGGAGATATTGGATTCAAGTCTGGGGACTCTAAGGTACAATGACCATCTTATTGTGCTTAACTCATAAATTTTCCCATTTATCAAATAGCATTCTCAGGGGAGTGAATGTGATGTTAAATAGTGTTTCCCCCCCCCCCCCCTTTTGACATGCATCTTAGATCGTAGTCAGTAGTTTATCACTGATGCTTGGGAATATTAAATGACAACACTTCCTGAAATTGGCATTGAATCTCAGACCCATCCCATCTTCTTTTGTCCCCTTCCATTTTTTCCCGGATTTTTTCTTAGTTCATTATGCAGTTCAGTCGCACTTCTCAGAAAATATTGGCAAACATTATAATAGAAATTCTTCCAAACAGTTTGCAGAGCAATCTGTCAATAAGTTCTCTGATACTTTTTTTTCTTTGATTCCTTTCTTTTAACTGTTATGCTGACTAAATTTTCAGTCGCAGACCCTACAAGTTAGGATTGATTGTTTTTAGTTAATTTCAACTTTTTCTTAGAAGATATGTGCATTCATCCTCATATTGTTTGCATTTGAGAGTTGAGACACTTGCTATAAATTCTGATGCAGGCGAATGAATCAGATGAAGTGCTGGTGAAGTCATCATTTCTTGCTGAACTACAGCGCCGCGTTCTTAAAGCTGAGGCTGCTCTGAGGGAGAAAGAAGAGGAAAATGACATCCTCCACCAGAGGCTCCTACAATATGAAAGCCGTTGGTCCGAATATGAGCTAAAAATGAAGTCCATGGAAGAAGTGTGGCAGAAACAAATGAGGTCGTTACAATCCAGTCTCTCCATTGCAAAGAAGAGCCTAGCAGTCGACGAGTCGGAGAGAAGTTCAGATGCATCTGTCAACACAAGTGACGACAGAGAGTACTGCTGGGCTGCAGGAAGTAACCTAAAGGTCCCCGAGAGCAACGGGTTGAGACCAATGAGTGCAGGTTTGAGCGTTATAAGTCGGTTGGCAGAGGAATTCGAGCAGAGGAGTCAAGTTTTTGGCGACGATGCAAAGTTCTTGGTGGAGGTAAAATCAGGGCAGGTAGATGCAAGCTTGAACCCAGATCGCGAACTTCGAAGGTTGAAGCAGATGTTCGAAACATGGAAGAAGGATTACGCGGGGAGGTTACGAGAAACGAAAGTGGTATTGAATAAACTTGGAAGTGAAGAAGGTGCACTTGACAAGGTGAAAAAGTTCTGGGGCAGGAGGAACAGCACCAAGTATAATTAATCAAACTTATTTGCTGTGATGCTGTCAGCTGCAAATATCTATCGGTAAACAGAAACTATTGCATAGAGAAATTGTGAGAGTTTTGTTTGCTATAAAATTGATTTCAAAAGTGAAGTGAATTCAGGTGCATAGTGCATACCCAAAATTACATTTGTTTTAGGATATTTGATAGTATTTGTTTATAATTTTTCTTAATTTATTGATATTGCACACACATTCTATAAACACAACTATTTAAACCCTGATCTTCAAAGAAGAATAATATTTTCTTTTATCATTGAAATCACTCAATAGATTCTTATATATATCAATAATTAAACAAATTGATTAACCCCCAAAATTAAATAACTAAGTCGATTTTATAACCAAATTAAATTGTCTTAACTATACCAAAAACAAAAATAATTGAATTGATATATTTTTAGTACTTTTTATAATTTATTTATAAAATAAAAAAATTTCATTGCTGAATTAAATGTTTATATGCAATTAATTTAATATTTGGATTCATTTTTTCCATATATATATATATATATATATATTTAAATTAAATTAATTGAATATATACATATAATTTATTGTTTAAAAAGTTTAATTGGTTTTTCGGTTTGAGTTTCTAAAATTGATAACCCAAACTAATTACCGAAATTGAATAAGCAAATCAAATAGTTTTAAAAAATTAGATTAAATCGATTTAGTTTATCCTATTAATTTAATTTAACCATTTTTCCTCTGACCGACTGACCCTAAGTTTTTGAACAATAAATCTGACCCTGCTTTTAGACATACATTTTCTTCTCTCCGTTTGGCTAACTCGGTTTCGTTTGCAGCCGCTCATTGTCCTCTCATCTGCCTTTTCATTCGTGAATGTTATCATCCCTGATTAATCGCAGTGCATGTATTTGTCCACCTGTTCATGTGTCATTGCAATATGCTTTGTGATTGAAGCAGTGAATGTTTGATCTCTCGTCTTCTTCACTGTATGTATTTGATATGGTTTATAATTTTTCAATATTGGTAATCAATACTTTTAATAAAAAATTATTAAAATCTAAGTAAAAGGATTAAAACCACATAATATAAGTATATATAGGTATCCCATGTAAAACAATAGGGGGGCCATGCAGCATCTCTTGTTATTTAAATTTAATCACATGGATAAAATAAAATTTACTGAAACGTTTGTTGAAATTGAATTAATAGAATTGATGATTTTGATTCAATTAATTAATAAGAATCAAATTTATTTATTATTTTATTTAAAGTGGTTATAGTCTTTCTTTAAATAGATTGTTTATATTTTTTTTTCTGCCACACACAAATTAGGGTTTTGGAGAGAAATAAGATTGAGCGAAATGAGAGGATGGGATGAAGAAGACCTGCCAAATAGAACAGATTTTAGGGGACAAGTGAAACGTGGAAATTTATATATTTAATCTAAAATTGAATTTAATTAAAGAAAACGAGTTATTTTTAATATTATTATGATTATAATATTGTTTATATTATTTTAAAATTTCTGATTGAATTTGAATTATAATTAAAAATGATATATTGTGATAAGTTAACATTTATATATTTAACCTAAAATTAAAATCAAATTAAACAAGACAACTCATTTTTAACCATTTTTAATTTATTTTTTGTAAAAATTTCCATGTGAAAATGTAGAAGAAATGTAAAGAAAACTTTGGGAAATAATCCAAACAAGGATTATAGTATCCGTATTTTATGAAGAAGATCCAAACTTTCCATATATAAGTATCTATTGTCAATCAACTTTAGCTTATATATAGTCTACAGCAATAGCAATAAAACATAAAACACAAAAAGAATTACATAAAGCTTAGTTATACCACAATGGCTTCCATTCTCCACTTCTTCTTTGCAGCTCTCTTTCTTGCTCTCCTTGGCCAAGGATATTGTCAATGCTCTATAGCCGACGTGAGGATCAGCCAAACGCAAACTGGGAAGACAGTGGAAAACAAGCCGGAATGGAAAGCCACAATCACCAACGGTTGCCCTTGCACTCAGTCTGATTTGAAGCTCAGCTGTGACGGATTTCAGTCGGCGGAAGCTGTTGATCCGTCGGTGATGTCGAAATCAGGGGGAGAATGCTTGATCAACGGTGGCGAGCCAGTGGCTCCCAACAGCGACTTGAGTTTCAACTATGCTTGGGATACTTCGTTTTCTTTCAAGCCCCTTTCATCCCAACCCAACTGTTCTTAAATTTTCAATCCAAGACTTTTGAACTCTACTGTTGTATTTTTTCCCTTCAATAATGAAATAAAATTTTAGCCGTTTACATAAATATATATATATATATATTTTCTTTTCTATATATTTTCTATATGGTTATTTGTCAAATTATACTGAAATAATTATATAGAAACAACGTAAAAATAATTAATATTGTGTTTCTCTAATCCAGATTTTATCTGGAATAAAACCTTTAAAATGTAAAACTGGCTCAAAACTATACCCCTTCCTTCACCAAGGCAGGAAAAGTTTCCTTTTTTAAAAGAATAATATAAGTAGATAAAATATAAATCGAGTTGTTTTTCCTTTTTTACTGGGTAATCAAATTATTTTTATTAAAAGAGACAATAAGCCTAGAAAATCATAACAACAGCAGAAAATAAGAGTTGTTTTAAATCTGAGTTAATTACAAGATAGTATTTGTTCGAAATACTTTCTATTAATTGATAATAAATGTTTAAGTACCTCTGTGTATGTCGTACTCAAACCCAGAATCTCTATGAATAATAATCGTTCATTTAACAAAATTTCGAAATGAAGTAGCTTTTGGAAACATTATTAAGAAGAAGAGGCGATTAATTATTCGTCTAAATAGTATTAAAAAAACTTTAACATATTTCATTATGATGATCTAATCAGAATTGGGAGAGAACTTCGAATAGAGCTTCCAACTATTTTAGATGACGATGAACTTTCGTTGATGCAAAAATTAAGGTGTACGTGGATACTTGATGTGGATCGTAAAATTGATGGTTGCAAATGGTGTTATGATGATAGTTGAGAGAAGAATTACAATTGTGATGATTTTTGGTGGTTTATTTCTTTTGGTTTCTCGAGGTAGTGTAATTTTCTATCCCTAGTCTTGTATGATGATTTACATACAAGTCCTTAGCGTTGGTGTCAGACCTAGAAGGATGATGATTATTTTTAGATTAACAAGGTAAATAGATATGACTGTTAGCTAATAAATCGCATGAGCCTACTAGTAGTAATGTCAAGAGACTAAGGCTGACTTGAATATATGAAATTTCGGAGCCTTCAGGGTTTGATAGGTGAAGAAATGTCAGCAGATGTGTGGTTTGCGGAGGAAGTCTGGTGGAGGTACAACACTTTCTCACTTTGTTTGAAAAAAAGTTCATAAAGTGATTTTAATCAAGACTTGTAGAAGAAAAGAGTAAATGCTTTCATTTTCTTTTGCCTTTAATTTCCAAATCGTTGAAATATTTTCCTACGAAATTTCTTACTTTGTGTTTGAAGTTTCTTCTTTATTTTTCTTGATACGATGACGAAGGGAGTTGCGAGAGTAGTCAAGAATCTGCAGGATAAAATAAAGACAAACTAATCGCTTTTGGTGATTGGTCAAGTATAAAACCAACTAGAATGAGGCAGAGGTTGTTGCAGTCGTGGTTCGTAATGGGCAAACTACATCTTTAAGTTTAAGATCTTCATCTACCTAAGCAACTTCGATGAGGGGGAGAATGGGAGCAGGGTGGATTTACCTGCCTTTGTTCGCGTTGGAAGCTGGATTTTGTTGGTGAAATAGAAACCGCAAAAATCAAATCGTTACTGAATAGTTAAAAATAAATAAACAAGAATTCGATCAATCGTGTCGTATTATTAATTATTATCTTAAAAATAAATTTGTCTCGATGTGTGTAATCGCTGTAGTAGGCGGCCTTCCTCCGAGATTAACACAACCTCTCCGATAATTCGTACACAAATCATGATAATTCTCAATAAAATATTAATTTTGCTGAACGAAAAAAAGGCAAACCGGATGTAATTAAGCACCTGTAACTGCCATCATAAAATAATCGTTTAGAGCTGTAATATAACCTTATCTACAACCAGACAATATTATAAAATTCACTTTGATTCATTTATCAGGTTAAAATCAAGTCGATGCTCGATTCATATCGAATTTGAATAAATTAATTCACATTAATTTCCATTCAAATTACTTTTAGTTTGGATTATTTTCTAATATTGTTTATTATCATTCTTTAATTTTAAATCAACAAAATTTTGTCTAGAAAAGGATCAAGCCCTAAAATCTATTATTTTGGTATCAGACTATTAAGTTTAAACTATTAAAAATAATTTTTAATTATATTCAATATTATTTCCGTAAAAGTATGTATTTATATGATTATTTCAAGATTAAATTGAATTGAATCGATAAAATAAAATTAGTGGAAACTTTTGTTTAAATTGAATTAATAGGAACGATGAATTTAATTAAATTAATTAATAAAATAAATTAAAATTAAGTTTATTCTATATAGGTGGTTATTGTTTTTTTAAAAATAAATTGTTATATTTGTTTATGTCACTCATAAATTAGGGTTTTTTTTGGGGAAAAAGATTGAGGGAAATGAGAGAATGGGATGAAGAGGACCTGCAAAATAGAATAAATTTTAAGGGGCAAGTTAACGAAATATTTGTTTATATTATTTTAAAATTTCTGATTGACTTTTAATTATAAATTAAAATAATATTAACTCAACTGACAAAAAATCCTCAAGGTGAAAAATAAAAAAGCATATATTTATGATGTGTGGAAATTTAAATATTTGACCTAAAATTAAAATTAAAATAAAACAAAACCACCTCCTTTAAACTATTTTTTTATTACCCTTCCGGTTCATGACCTACTTAAACAATATCAAAAGGCTTACCACTTGAACCGATCCCGTTAGTTACTTCAAACCATTTTTAATCACCAATAATTTCTTCTTCGTTTTTTTGTAAAAATTTATATGCGAATGTACAAATTCATGTCAGCATAAAAATATGGTAATGTAGAAGAAATGTAAAGAAAACTTTAGGAAATAATCCAAACAAGGATTATAGTATCCGTATTTTATGAAGAAAATCCAAACTTTCCATATATAAGTATCTATTGTCAATCAACTTTAGCTTATATATAGTCTACAGCAATAGCAATAAAACATAAAACACAAAAAGAATAACAAATAGTTTAATTATACTACAATGGCTTCCACTGTCCACTTCTTCCTTGCAGCTCTCTTTCTTGCTCTCGTTGGCCAAGGTAATTCCCAACCCATATATATATATATATATATATATTGTTGCGGAAGACGGCTATCGGATAGAGCAAAATCGCAACTGATAATTTGAGAAAATAAAAATGAAGATAAAGAAGACACACAATTTACGTGGAAAACCCCTAAATAATATAGGGCAAAAACACGGGCAACGGTAAAAGAATTTCACTATGAGAAAATATGAATTACAACTTCTCTCGATCTACCAAGGAGAAAATAATGATAATTCTCTCTTGATAAAAAGAAGAAAATAATTCTCAAGAAACTCTCCAAATTCTCTCTAGTATTGGAAGAAAGCTAGAATGCGTTGGGATGATTTTGAAGCTAAATGAGCTAGGGTATTTATAGTTGAAGCTTAAGGACTAATCTTGTAAATACCCTAAAGTACAATGACTAAAATATGTAATTTTGTCATGTCTATTTTCAACCATTATTAGTGCCAACTATAAACCATTATTGTTGCCAACTTACAATGCATTATGAACCATTTTTATGCATTATGCAACTATTATTAGTTGCATGACAACTAATAATCTCCCACTTGAAGATTTGATTAGAACAATCATATCTTTACACCATTGTTTCTACCTTGTACCATCATGTTGCTTACGACTCTGACAGGCCACAAGAGGATTGACACCAAGGAAATTTATCAGTATTGATCGCTTTCGTCATGAAATCTGCTATGTTGTCTTTGATATGGATCTTCTGCATATCTACCGTCCCTTTTTCTACATTTTCACGAATGAAATGGCACTGAACTCGTATGTGCTTTGTCATTGAATGAAATGCTGGATTCCTTGCTAAATGCAAGGCGCTTTGACTGTCACAAAACAAAGAGACATACTCTTGATTGTGCCCAAGCTCCTCCAATAGCATTTTCAACCAGATTGCTTCTTTACTGGCTTGTGTAGCTGCTACATATTCTGCCTCTGTTGTGGATGTAGCCACAACTGACTACAATTTTGAAACCCAGCTTACAGCTCCACCAACAACTTTGAACACATATCCTGTAGTAGATTTGCTTTTATCCAAATCCCATGCATAGTCAGAATCTAAATACCCATTGATTAGTAAGTTTGATCTTTCGTAACATAATGCAATATTTGAGGTCCCTTTGATATATCTCATGATCCTCTTTACTGTATTCCAATGCTCTTTGCCTAGATTCGTCATGTACCGACTAACCACTCTCACTGCTTGTGCAATGTCTGGTCTTGTGCATATTATAGCGAACATTAAACTTCCCACTGCTGATGCATACGGTACTCGAGACATCTACATCATCTCTTCTTCACTGCTAGGACTCATACTGGAGGATAATTTGAAGTTAATAGGAAGAGGAGTAGAAATTGGCTTACAATCGTACATGCTGAATCGTGACAAGATCTTCTTCAAATAATTCTTTAGTGAAAGCCAAATCTTCCTATTACTTCTATCTCGGTGAATTTGCATCCCTAGAATCTTGTTTGCTGATCCCAAGTCCTTCATTTCAAATTCCCTAGCTAGTTGTGCCTTCAATTCTTCAATATGATCTTTGTTGGGTCCTGCAACCAACATGACATCCACATACAACAGCAAAATAACAAAATCGTTATCATCAGACCTCTTGAAATAAGCACAAGGATCTGTATTAAGTTTGTTGTATCCAATGCACATAATGAAAGAATCAAATCTCTTATACCAATACCTCGGCGCCTGCTTTAGATCGTACAGTTGTTCAACCTGCAAACCAAGTTCTTCTTTTCTTTTTCTTCAAAACCTTCAGGCTGGAGCATGTAAATCTCTTCTTCAAGATTTCCATGAAGAAAAACTGTTTTAACATCTAGCTACTCTAGATGTAAATTCAATGTAGCACACATTGCCAAAACTACTCGAACTGTTGTTAGTCAAACCACAGGAGAAAAGATTTCATTGAAATCAATACATTCTTTTTTAGC